CCAGCGGTAAATTCGTACAACTAGTCGAAAATGACGATCGAGAATTATTAACAACGAGCTGTCAGACAGATATAAAGGATTTGGTATCAACAGGCTCCCAAACAGAACTTCTGAGAGAACTTGAGAGGTTGGAGAGGGAGCTTGGTGTTGCTGATAAAGGAACATGTACTGAGGAAGATATTTTTGAAAATGAGAAGCAGCGGCGACGGAAATCAGGGATCATAGAATCTCCATGTCCAGAAATAAGAACATTAGGAACAACACTTAAGTCTAGTGAAGAGACTCCTACTAAAATCACAATGGAGGATTCTAGTTCTAGCAAAGAAACTCTGTCGGTGGAGAAAGACAAGACAGCTACAAACTTATGGAGAAAGAAACTGTCTGTTGCGTTTAAAATCCCAGAAGAGTTTGATTATGAAAGTGCAACAAGCGCGGCGCTCGAAAACTCAGTCGGAAGTAATAATTTTGTGGATGGAGTGTCTCTACGCGTGAGGTAAGTTGACTCGTCTGGATCCCACGTATACCGAAATGAAGTATTTTTGTTCTTGACTTTTTCAAGTGAATAGATGAACGCTATCTATTACTTAGTTATCAAGTCAGAACGCATTCCCATAACCTGACTTGTGTTTATTAGTATTTTTGCGATGACACACAGCGTGTTTTTTCTTTGTACTTTGTGTCACCAGGCCAGCCCTCAATGATAAGGAAATTGAGGTAAGTCACTCTCTTGATTATTAAATGGGATTTTAAAACCTCCTACTTTAGATGGTATCCAATGCCATGCAGTGGGTGCAAGGTATTTCATTTTCATTTAGGACTTAAAAACAACGGAACGAAGCAATAAAAATGCACCATTAGTTTGATTATTTCGTAGTTGCCTTTATGGTATTTATTTAATTAGTGGAAGTATGCTAACGTGACTCTTGGTAATCAGAAACAGTTCAAGACTCTGGTGCTAGCTTTCCAAACAGATCAAGAGACCCTAAATAGACGACTGGAAGTTCAGGTAAATTTTTTTTTCTTGTCATAATGTATGGTATTTCATTCCTTTTTTTTAATGATAACTTTGCAGCAGACTACATGTAGTCTGCTTTTTTCTTCCCTCTTTTGGCATTCATTGGAGTTCATAAGCTTGGAGGGGTAGGGGGTTGGCGGAAGTGCGTGGGCGGGCTGAGGTGCGTGGGTGGGCGGAGGTGCGTGGGCGGAGGATTGAAAGGGAGAAATGTTGTCTCAGCAGATTTGGTTCACCAGTTATACTAAAGTACATTAGTAAAAGCCTGTTGATGTATCAATTCTTTCTCATGCATGTACAATACACAACCAGTGCTTTTATCTGCATAGGCGCGTGCCAGAGAAATCGCAGAATGCAACATGAACAAAGAGCTGCAAAGCATGTCCAACACACTCAAGGTAATAAAACCGCAATATGTTCTAATGGCTTCCTGTCTTTTATAACTTAAAAATTTTACCTTCTTTTTTAATATCCTTTGTTATAGTGTGTTATTTTCTCCTTCGATATCTTAACTTATTTTCTTGATATTTTAATAGCAAAATTAATCGTATTCTTTGGTGCATGTGTCACTTTAACATGACCCTTGTTCTAACTTGAAATTGGTTTTTGTTTTGTTTACAACAGGAATTTGAGCAATTGTGTTTCACTAAGGATATGCAGGTATGATGGCTTTCATAATATGTTTTTTGTAACTGAATCTTAAGATCTGAGAGCCAATTCTTCGACCTGATGACCATACATTTATTAGTGGACCAAAGCTGAGAATTTGGTGCCATATCAAGACAGAGGCCTGTAGGTGATAACTTTCTTGGGTGGTATTACTTGTCTGTTTGAAAATGTTTCGAACGTGAAAGGAGAAAAAAGAAGTTGATCACTCCTTGAGGTAAAAACATACAAGTTATCCTGAACGGCCTCAATTGGTAACGTAAGCAGTGCTTGTAGGGTTCGGTCTAATTTTAACACCAGTTCAGGTGGTAGTACGGTGAAAGTAGGCAAATGGTAGATGCATGTTTATTCGGAGTGGAATTTATCAGATTTCATTTACCTAACCATGATTGGTCTCATAAGTTTGAATATATGCTCAGAATTTTTAGCAAATTCCTCAACAGGATATGTTGTCAGTTTTAAAGACGCACCTGGAGATAGTAAAGAAATCTTCGCAAAGAATGATTACTCAAACAGAACAACATGGCTGTGTCAAACAGGTCAGTGACGACGCACGGCAATTTGATTATTCTTCCTCACCTTGTTACTGAAACCATGCTAGTGGCCTTCCACCATTTTGGTTGAATTCGTTTTGTAAGTCGTGGTTGCTTACCACTGGTAAGAACCATTCGTCCGTGTAAAAGCTCAATGTTCAATTTGGTGTCGAGCGTTATCCGAAAGTGCTTTATTTTTTCTTTATTTTGCTCTATTATTGGCCCAAAAAAACTCGCCCCACTTTCAGAATTAGGGTAATTTAGTTTTATCATGTGAATTAATAACGTAAATTGGCCACTGTAAAGAGTTTAAGAGCTGACGTTTTGAGCGTTAGCCCTTCGTTAAAGTGAATGACATTCGCATTGATCAACTCAGTTGATAATACTAAATTACCCTGTTATACTCTCGCACCGTCGCAACTGTACAGTTTCTTTCGAAACTTGCCTCCTTTTTTCATTTCCTTTTATCGGATTGGTTGTACTGATTACTCGATTTTGGTTGTACGAAGCTGAATCGAAATACGCTTTGTCGTGCTTAAACGTTTTATGGTTGAACCTGGCTAAAGAAGGACACTGTGCTGATCGTATCAAACTCCACGAAAAATACCCAATTAAAAATTAGTTAGCAAAACGAAGAGAGGATTAAGATCTCCTTTATCCTATTTGGAAGAAACGTAAATGAAATGATACGTAAAGTAGTTGATTTCCATACAATTTAGGTTTTTTGCGCTCTGATAGTAACAATCCCTTATTTTCTTTCGCGGTCAAAATGATACTTGGTTTCCAGTCACTTTTAGAGCAGAGTTTGCAATCGCTTTACAATTGAACACACAGGAGGCTCGTATGTCATCTGGAGTGGAGGTAATGATATGTCATTCTGAGAACTTGACTCGTCATATGGAGCGAGTACGAGAGGACCTCAACGAACTACGTATGAAGGAACGGCTGGCTGCTGACGAAAGTGCGTCACCTGGAACTTTGGCAAATGGTCCTACACGACTTGGTAATAAATAATGGAGCTAGACCCTTAAACTGGTTTGCACTCACACTCAGATTCTGATTTCATAATTACGATCATGAAACTTTTAACTAGTTATTGCGTTGTTTACGACATGCACCACAAGACTTGAAGATTCAAAGACTCTGGTATCAATACAAATAGCTGCATGCTATGTATGAAACACTGTTATTTGTTCCTATTGTATTCACGAATTTATTGATTACTTCGTTGAAATGCCTTTTTTTAGTTGCATTACTCTGTTATTTACATTTTTCTCTAGCACGTGTAAAAAAATTTCTGTTCAAATCCTTGTTCGCTTTCTATTCATTTATTGTGTTTATTCATGCTTCATTTCTCCATTTACTTTTTTTTCCTCGCTTGATTTTGAAGGTTTAGATTCCCAAAGGGTTGGCAGTCCTTCACCTCCACTTCCTCACCAAGTAAGAATTTTTCTAACCAAAATCTTTGCCTTAGTTTATATACGTTATTTTTGTTTTAACCACTGCCTTCTTTTTCTGCCTTTTTCTCTCGGTGAAGGTGATACAAATTGATGCGTTTATTGTTTTCGTTTGCTTGTGCTTCTCTATGTTGTGCTTAATACTTAACTCGATAATTTACTCATACTTCTGTTATTTTGTTGCTCTCTTACCCTTGAATGATTTAAGTTAGCAATCTTTCTTTGTCCTCCCAACTGTCACATTCCTCAACAAAATTAAATATGATTGTTCTCATAGTCTGAAGCAGGAGGTGATGGCACTAAACAGAACAGCCTTCTCAATTTTGTCATGGCTTTTCATACTACATCGATGCGAGCAAAAGAAGCCCTCCGAAGCTTCCGGCGTCGTACGGAGGCCAGCAGACAAGAACGGGAGGCTTCTGGAGCCTCCTTGCGCCAAACTGAAGAGCCGTCAGTGACGAAAATCGATTCGTCTCCGACAGAAAGTCTGCCAGAAACCGAATCCACTGGCACTCCGGCTGTGGTTGTGAGTGACTCGGAAGGAAAAAACGACAACATAAACGTGGAAGAAACCGAAGGGAGACAACATGAACATGAAGACGAGGTGGTTCCTGTCGATCACCCGGTAGAGTCTGAAGAGGATGACGAAATAAAAGACTCTAGTGAAAAGGAAAGTGAAAGTGGCAGAATTGACTCAGAAGTCAATTCAGTGCATGAAACGTAAGTATAAACTCTTGTTTCTGCCTCGCTGTACAGTTCTTCAATGTGTTTCCCACTTATATTAATTTATAAATCTGTGGAGAGACTCTCCATGCGGTCTCCATATAGAGGGGGGAGGCACTCTTGAACGAGAATGGTTGGATCGTTGACAAATTAAATCAGGTCATGATCAAACAGTGAGGCTTCTGTTTGGATTATCAAAGTCGTGAATCATTCAAAGTTTTTCAGTTCTTGTATCGTAATTCTAGCTTCTTCAGGAATGATATCCATTGTTTTTAAATAGCCATGAATTAGGTTTTGAGTTTCAAAGCAAATCTTTAAGTTTCACTTGTCTATTTCATTTCCAGATCCAAAAGACCCAGTGTATCTTGGAGATTTTTATCAACTGCCTTCAGATTTACGACCTATGTCTTCATCTTCATGTTAATTATATTTATTGGAGTAACCATCTTCGTTAAAACGGATATCATTGTAATAGAGAGAGACTTTGTTATGTCAAGAATACGTAAACTTCTCCATCCCTTCATTGAAGTAGTTTATCATGAAATTCCTCCTCAATGAGCGTTTATCTTCCAGTTGTCTTCATTCATTTAATGAAATGAAAAAAAGAACCATTTTAATTATTATTTATTATAGTTTACTTAGTTGCGTTAGATATAAAGAACATTGGTTGTCAATGCGAAAAAGAATATATTGATCGGATAATATCAGCAAAGCTGGGAATCATGCAAAGTTACTCAATGAGGTGTTCCAAAATACGGGACAATAGTGGGAAGATTAAGAAGGAAAACAGTCTTCTAAAGGATCTTTTGTGCGTTACAATTGTACGCTGTTCACTCAGCATTTTTGTAATGAAAAGTTACGCCACCAGTCACTCGTTCACATTTGATATAGAAATTAATTTTTATGGTAATTTGCTTAAAGATTTCAATTATGTGATTCCGCCGAACTTATAGTTGACAGTCCACTGATACAAAGAGGAAAAACGTGCACAATAAATCGAGACTAATCACTCACTAAGAAAAGAAATACGTGATGTCAGACACGTTTCTGATACTTATTAAATTTGGGGTTTTACTCAGCAGCAGTAAGAATATTTTGAAGGCTGTCACATATTTTAGCCTGCCAATGACTTGGAAGTAGTAAGTCTGCGTGACTTTTGAAAAAAGATTTAGTTTTAGCTCGCCTCCAGAGAACATTGTTACATTCACTTTTCACCTACCATAAGACGTTGCGAGATACGTTTAAACACGCAAGCCATCTTCCATATCCTATAAAAGTAGTACAAGATTTTTCATTATTGTACTAATCACATCTGCTTCTCCGTTCCAATTCACCACTATTTGCGACATTTCTGAATTAAAAAGAGATGAATTGAGGATTTGAAAAGTGTGCTTTGTTAACTGCAGATTCATTCTTCGTGAACACTTTGGAAAAAAGATGTGAAAACGATACTTTTGCGTCAAGGTCGCGCCACAATTTTCCGTGGACATCTTAAGACATTTTTTCAGTCCACAATATACAATGGTTACTAGGTGTAGAAACACTTAGAGGCTGGATCCAAAGTATCGTAAAACCAGACTTAAGCGTATTAAAAAAAGTAAATGTTTTACCTCCACAATACTCAACACGGAAAACTGAGAAAGCCGTTATTTTCAGATTTATCGACTCACGGTATTGTTATTCGTTTCACATCCTACAACTTCACGCTCTTACAAAACGTAAATGAGGTGTAAAATATGTGAAGCTTCATTTTAGATTTGGGCAAATTTGATCGATTTGTTACATAAGGTCGTGTTGAATTTTCCTGCTTGCGGAAAACCAGAGGAATTTTCATGATGTGCTTCGTTTCTAGCATTTGAAAAAATTGAATTTGGCAGGTTTGATGCATAGGCCCATGTTGTCAGAATTAATAGCTAGAATTAAGTAGTTTTTAACAATGCTTTCTTATATTTAGAAGTCCCTTTGCGAATCTCTAGGGGCGGGCTCTTCGTTTGGTTCACTGGCTTAACTGAAGGGACTGACGCTGCCATTAGTCACCAGAATTTCTATGGTTGACTGATAAGAGTTGTCACATACTACTGAAAGAGAGTAATTTAGACAAAAAAAAAACCGCACACGATGCTAGAAGTAGTACTAAATGGAAAAAAAAATTATTTCTAGAATTCTCGTAGTCTTTCCTTGAATTTGAATTTTAGTTAAAGATTTAGAAGGAGCCACGAGTTAGTGTTTTACTAGTTGCAAGTAAACTTTACTGCGAAAAATTTCATTCTAATCCCGTCTACTATTCGCTTTTTAAGGCACTTAGTTTCAAAGTCGCTTATAAGACCAGCCGAGTTGCACTGTCGGCACGTGAACATCCCGAGAGAATTACCAGACAGTTCATCGTCAGTTGGAGTCAAAGCCTTTGCCACATTTGGTGCTAGACCGCTGTTTCTATTCTCGTCTAAAATATCTTGAACTCGACTTCTTCGGCATTCTCCGGTCAACACTGTGAAACGAATCAATGTTGCATCGCGTTCAGGACATCTGTGCTCTATGCAAGCTGCATATAAATTGCTGTTGACTCTCTCGGTTTGTTTAGTGGCTGTCCCATACAGTGTTCCCTCATCTTCAGAATAACTTTGTGCCGTTACCAAGGTACTCGTTGTCCCGGATGTCAAGATCTTTAAATAGCATCTCCTCCTAAAGGATCCACGTCTAAATCGTTGTTGGAAAGGCGGCTGCGGGACGTACCCCTGGTTGAAAACTTGTGCGTCGCCTTGGCTATGAAATGAGAAGTAACTCTGCCCACTACCATCCCTCCGACAAGAGCTAGCTTGAGCTTTTTGGTACACAGGGCCGTTGAGTGGTCGCGCACCAGGATTAAAATTGATTCTTCGGGTATCTACTATGGAAGCATTCGTTTCAGGAGGGAGAGCATGCACTTCGTTCTCAACAGGCAATAAAGGCTTTCCGTCTTCCTCCACCTCCATGTAACCATGGCTGTTGCACTGGGTTGCTATGCATCGGTAGCCGTTTGAGGAAGTTGTCCGCATTAAGTACCCTTGAATCGCTTGTCCACGAGGATTCGTGAAAATACTGGTGACTTTCGCATTTGGTATTCCTGATCCGTCTTGTCTGGTTGCTCTAACCTTTGCAAAACACCTGTCATAAATTTCATCGAGATTAAAAACATTTTGAACATTCTCTGGGCTTATTGCTCCAGAAAATGCCCTGGACCATAAGTTTCTCTTTCTGCGCTTGGCACTTTCGCTGTTTCGTTCAAGTTGGCCAGCGTCCACCCATCGACCAGTTTTCTGGTCCAGCCACCACAGATGTGGTAAGGGTGTAGATTCATTGAAGGTCTCTCCAGTCATTTGTTCTATGTCGATGTTAATATGAAGATCCTTGGTGAGGCCGAGGTTGTTGTTATTTTCGTCCTGTACCTTGATTTTGAAAAGGCCGTACGTTCTGAGTAACTGTTCTTCGCCATCTTCGTCGACAGTAGTAAAATCACCTTGTGATTCTAGAATGTCTTGCTCACTTCTGGGATCGCTAAACTGAACTTTCACTTTCGCTTTGCCTTTTTGGGGGTTTCCATCTTTGTCAATTAAGCTATTGGCTGGTATAACAACTTCTGCCGCTGCATCTCCTACAAGGGGTACCACCTTCTCTTCTTCGGGATCAAATTCAATGGGTTTCGCTTCTAGGCGAAGATGAATTTTATGGAATGTTGTTGCGCCCTTTTGGAAAGGTAACGTAACTGTTGTTTCCTCGTACTCCTCCGTGTAATCTCGAAACGTTGCCACCAATCGCTTTGTAGTCTTGTTCACAGTCAGTTGAAAAGTTCCGTCGAAGTCGGAGAAGGTAACAACTGTATCGTTAACCAGAATGTCGCAATATTCCACCGGTGTTTCATCTGCTCCTCCTACCACAACTCCTGCAATATTCAAATAAAATGATGATTATGTAAATTGCTACCTGCACTGGTATTTTATAACATGTTTCACTTCTCGAAATATCGCCGGTGTTGAATGCGTTAAGAAGAAGGAAAAGTGCTGGATGTAGTACATGATAATTAACAACTATTCAATAAATTGAAGGTGGCTAGTGGTGATATATACCGAGCTGTGGCGCGGCGAAGCAATTATCCTCTGTTAGCCACCGACACAGAGGTGAATAGTTGTTTCCGCTTATACTAAAACCCTGAGATTGTAAAAGGATGATTTTAACTTTATTCTTCTAACAATTACTCGTTGAGTAGCAAAGGCTCTTCGGAGTTTTTGTTGCCAATTAGAACAGGCCTACAATGTTAACTATTGTTTAATATATGCTATTTAAAAATATATCAGACTAAAACTACTTAGAAAGCTTAACTGATGTGCCATATTTCTTTTAACAAGCGCCCTCCCCCGAACAAGCGCCCATCCACGAGACCTAAATGGCAAACAAGCGCTCCTCTCGAATAAGCACCTCCTTCTTCTTCCTCACTCTCTTAAAATTGAGAATCAAGCAAAACCTAGAGAAAGATGACGAAAAAATATTTCTCTATTTCTTTACCGAGCTCAAAAGTTACCATCTTTTTTTATTCTATTTACAAGGAAAACCTATTTGTATTGCCATATTATTTATAATTTTTTAAGTTTCAATTACAACGAAATCAGTACAGGATAATTGCTTATTTTCCGTCGAGTCACTTCCAGTTATTTCTGTCTCAAAATTCGTGCAGAGTTCTTTTATGTACGTTCTTTTCTTTTAATTTTCGTCCTGTTACTGTGCTAACTCAACAAGTGCCCTTCTGATCAAGAGCCCTCCTTCCAGTAAACACCCCTCCTTTTAGACGGAATTTGAAATAGGTACCCGGGTGCTTGTTCAAGAAAATAACTTAAGGTGCTTGGCTCCGTGTTAAGTATTCGCAAATTATTGAGACAGAATGGTCGTTAATATGGATTTTTTTCACAGTTGATGGAGCCTCCAATTTTTCGACGGTGCAGTGAAAGTAACTTTTATTTGACTCCTACTTTCGAAAGCTAACAGTAGTTTACTTTTGATAAAAGCAATCTCGCATCACCACAGAATACGTTCTACTCAGGTAATTTTGCCCGTGAGCACGCGTTGCAGGTGTTATCCAGGTCATCGTGTCTAGTTTTGTAGAGACACATGTTTTGGTTGTCAGTGTAATATTCATGTCAAAACATTGAGGCAACTCGGTTGCAGCTTGATCACTATAATTCTTTTTGCTATATAGATTGAGTCTTGAAAGCAGTAAAATATGTGTTAGGACCTTTTAAAAGAAAGGATTACTTTCAGAAACTCCAAATGACCTCTCTGGCACGCGTAGTTTATGGTTTTGTGAGATGGACTATAAAGATGCTGAAACTTGCGCAATACCTTTCACAATGGTATCTCCCTCTTTGCAAATGTCACATCTGCAGCTCGCAATGCGCCTTACTGTAAAGTCTCCTTGACCACAGCGAACGGTGGTTTCACTCACAGCTCCAGCCTGGCAACAGCGCTCTTCTTCCTCACAGGACTGTTTGGGGGCCACATCAGCCCGTATACAAGGGCTATTATCGCACTTTCCGATGTTTACCTTGCTTTTACCTGTGAGATCTGTACATCCATCGGGAAGGTTTATGTAATGATCAGATGGTGTAGAGTTGCATGAGTTCAAAACTGGGTCTAATGTAAAAACAATCAACCTTTAAAATGTGAAACACTATCAAAGAAAATGACCCTAAGAACTGAATTGGAAATGACCTTTAAATTAGATTCCAACAAACGGCACATCGTTGTGAATATGAAAGCGATCTTCGTAGTAATGAACACTACTTGAGCAGTAGTAAAAATAAGGCCTAAAAAAAAATTCAGGCCTGTACAGGATGTGAACCCATAACCTCTGCGATAGCGATGCCGTGCTCTACCAACTGAGCTAACAAGCCAACTGAGAACTGGTCATTATGTTGGTTCCAAATGAACCCATGAAGTGGTGTATAGACGACTGCGAATAGACATATTACTGAAGTTGTGCATGCCAAGAAAGTTGTTATCAAGTTGAATCCTTAAGAAGAAGTGGCTCCACAAAATTTCCATTAAGCTAGTGTCAAAACTGAGTCGGTTGTGTTGGACAAATTTATTTTTTTCTGAGTATGATAACTTCAGTTTGGAAGAGTGTTAGTTAACTTGTTTAGGGAACTTCACTTGCACATACTAAGTAACATTAACCGTTTTTAGGAAGTGATAACTTGGTCGAAATCTGAGTGGCGCTTAGATCCTGTAGAAACGTCTTATTGAGCAAAAAAAGAGAGAGAGAGATAAAAGTAGCACCTGGAGCGAACTCGACAAAGCTAACATTAGTAATAACAATAATCCAAATGTAAAGCATACTTACCGAGAACAGTTAATGTCGCAGACTCAGAAAATTCTGCGCCGAATTGATTTACTGCACGGCATCTAAAATTTCCAGCCATGTTCTTTTCCACCTTTCGCAACAGTAACGTTTCTTTATTATTAAATTCGTCCGAGTCTAAGATGTTTTCATTTCGAAACCTACGAATCCAATAAAAATAAATAAATCGTGTATACCGAATAAATCAATTTTTAACTGTTTCGTAAAACCTCCTGTACTGTTTTGTCATTTCCAAAGGAAACTCGCGTCTTAAATCAGTCAATTGGTATGTCACCTACTAACGGCATAGGCTTTGCGCGGATTTCAGTTAGTTCCAGCTATGATTTCAACTACATGTAGCTCTAATTTGTGAGAAGGAAAATTTATCAAAGATGCAAACTATTTGATGTTTCAAAAACGAAATATTCTCCAAGTAGAGGCCAGGTGTGATGTCTGTTGACGCGCACATAGGGGACCTCTTAATGTCCCAAAAGACCTAAATCACAGCTAACGACAAAAGAGAAAATTTCTTACTAAGTGACCCGGCGTTGCATCCTTGTGGTTACCATTTGAAAATTTCTTAACCACAAACCGCGTTTTTGCGAGTGCAGTGCTTACCATTCTATGACTGGAGGTGGATTTCCTTCCACCTGGCAACAAAATATGACATCTTGTCCAACAAAACGTCTTCTGTCTTCTGGGTGAGCTGTTACTGTCGGGTGAACTGATTGATAAAGTACGTCAAGATTAACAACATGAGGAGAAAATAATACGCTGGATTTCCTTCTTGGCACAAATGAAGCAATTTATATACACTCAATCTAGCGTTTCGTTCAAGCAAGTAAATAAAATTTCAAAGATATTGTTTGCAAGGCCGAAGTGGAACCTTGGCTTAACGGCCCTATTTTAAGTTATCAATCAAAATAACTGCCCAAGAGCTTAGATCTTCTGTTGCAAATTTACTGCTTAAGGTGTTCCTTAATTGTCTTTTTATTTCTGTCAAGTCAATATTCAATCATTATGACTATAAGAAAACAATAGATATTTCAGCAACGTGAATCACCTTTGAATAACAAAAGAATTACCTGCGTTTTCCATCTTGAATTTAAAGGTGGATTTCGAGTCCGTTATGCGAAAAGTCTGGGGGACGTATCCACGCTTGATAATCAAAATGACTTTTTCTTTGTCGAAGCAGAATGCATTGACTTCGAAGAAGCCATTTTCTTGAGTGCGACTCAATATCTTATATGGAGACTCGGCAAGCGATACATTAGCTCCAGCCAGAGGTGCGTCACGTTTTGTTAATACTCGTCCCTTTAGAGTACCTTCTCTATCTAGTGGACACTTTCTTTTCCTTTTATCTGCAATATTCAATATATTCGCAGTTATTTTTAACTATTTTCTATCAAAGGGAACTAGCTATTCATATTGGTCCCCTAGGCCTGTAAGTAACACAATTGGAAAAATGTGGTAATTCTGTAGAATCAATTATTTGTAAAGCTTGCGACTGGGCCGGCGAACAACATTTCAAAAAGTATGAAATCAATTAATAGTGAATGTATTAAAAATGCAAGGATGACTGGATGATGACCTTTAAATACGTCCAGAGTTAAAATGGTTTTTGGTGTAAAGCTAACAACCGATTTTATACCTATTCACGAAAAAATAGGCAAGAACTTCTAGTCTTTGAAATGAATGACTTAGCTGGCTGAAAAAAATTGATCAAGGAATCTCATACCTGGGCACTTCCAGTCCGCGCATATGTCTTCCTGTCGAGGTTTCCCGGCACACCAGCCGTTTTTTAGAAGCTTTCCAGTGGCTTTGTTAGTACACACACGAGTTCGACTCTGTCGACCCTTTCCACAAGAACGCGAGCAATCAGTCCATGATGACCAGCGACTCCATTTACCATCTAAGAAGAAAAGACAACTTCTTGTGTCACAGACTACATGCTTAAAGGTTTGATTTATGCTGCATTGTTAGAGGGAAAATGAGTGATATTCAGTTAAATATTTACAGAAATAAACTAAAATCAATGAAAATTTCTTCCAAGCCATTCGTGGTCTTGTTGGTCATAATGATAATAGTCTCCCACTCTCATTCCTCGTTCTCTTGGCAACAAAGGTGTTAGAATGTCAATAATACGAGGTTTACCTGGATACGTGGCTACTTTGGTCACACGTCACATTTCCGGCGTTTTAATAAAATGAATAAAAAATGATAAATGCTACTCACCAGTATCAATGGACACCATCCAGTCTGTGAAGGTGACGTTGGTCGGTAAAAAAAAAAAATTAGAGAAACAAAAACAGTTAAAAGACTTCGTGTAAACAAAACACTAAATTTACAAGACGAAGAACTTGTTACCACTAGTTTTTTCGAGTCTATCTAGAAAAAAACTTGTAACCACTAATTGTTTCGAGCATATTTCCTCTGGTTTTACTAATTATAATCTTCTTTATCGGTAAAATTTCTGTACCTGGACATTCTCCATTAACACACTTTCTTGTTTGATGATGGTTCCCAACACACCGCTCTCGTTGTAGTTTCTGTCCTGTACTGGGTAAAATACAGGTTCCTGTTCGTCTTTGCCGACCACCTCCACATGTGACTGAGCAGTCAGTC